AATTCATTATTACAAATTATGTAAGTTATTTAATAAGAAAAAATTATGATTAATTTATTCATGTAATCAAAGTTAGTTATACTGTAGTGAACAAAACATTGGTTGGGGACAATCGAAATGTATTTAAGCGAACATTACAAACTATCTCAGTAAATTCTGATCACCAAACAATGAACAGTCAATTTGCAAATTAACAAACAATTGTTTCAATCTTTACTGTTTCTTCTCTTATTCCATTGTTCATGCATTTTCCAGACGATTTCGCTTCATTTCAGTTCTTTCCTCATCGGTCTTCTGCCAAAATACATTCTATGTCTGATCCACACCATATACTACTTATATAGATATAAGTAGACATCACACTCGTCCCCCTTTAAAGCATTCGACCATGCGGTGGTTCTGATCGCCACACCACTATCTTCTTTCACTGCAGTCTGTGCCAAACACTCCGTCAGAATGTCGAGTCTGCGGCGGGCTGACCTCCATAGCTCCGTCGACTTGCCGGGGCACCAACATCCGCATCCACCCGGCACCTGGGACGTTCAACATCCGTACTCCACCGGCCTGCTGAGCCATCTACATACGACGTCCGTCCAGCAGCCACACGTCCCACTGCTCCTCTCCGTCGACAGCACCTGCTACAGCCAACACCGCCCCGCCAGAATACTCCATTCGACGCCACCTCTCCGCACCAGACTACCCCAACTAGCACCTCAACTCCAGACCCGCAGCGGCGTCCGCAGAACAGCACCCTTCCTCCTCCCGGTTGGCAGCGATACCAAATGTAGTGAACAAAACGCTGGTTGGGGACAATCGAAATGTATTTAAGCAAACATTACAAACTATCTCAGTAAATTCTGATCACCAAACAATGAACAGTCAATTTGCAAATTAACAACCATCTCTGCTAACAACCAATTGTTTCAATCTTTACTGTTTCTTCTCTTATTCCATTGTTCATGCATTTTCCAAACGATTGTGCTTCATTTCAGTTCTTTCCTCATCGGTCTTCTGCCAAAATACATTCTATGTCTGACCCACACCATATACTACTTATATAGATATAAGTAGACAACACCACAATATCACTTAGTGTTGTTTGTTTCCAATCTTCCCATTGATGTGTTAGGACTGTAACTGGTCAATCTCTAATGGGCATATGTGCGTATTGTCTCGATATAGCCTTAATTCACAAGCATGGTAAGCAAAGATGGATAGTGGCTAGCAGTGAAATTTAGGCTATATCGAGGCAATACGCACAGTGTGCACATATGCCAATAAGAGACTAACCAGTTGCAGTCGAAAAAACATCAATAGGAAGATTCAAACAAACAATACTAAGTAAATTTCAATTTCACCCCATTTCACAAGCAGGTGGATATCAGGACTCAGTGGCCGAGTGAATAACGTGATGGCGTTTGAAGCGAAAGGTACTGGGTTTGAGTCTTAGAGTGAACATTAACTCTGAGATGCAGGTTCATCCAGCTGACGAGTCCCAAATAGGACGAAATGAGCGTCAAAATGGATTCTACTGTTAGCCACTATCCATTATTGCTTACGAAGTTAGTTAATGTTTATTTGTATTTACTTATTTATTCCCAAAATAACTGATTTAGTTTAGTGGAGTTAAGATTTAGCTCTGCCTGTAGCTGTTCTAGGATTACTGTTGGTCCCAAGACAGAGTAAAGGGTTTGGAGGTTGGGAATGGGGTCAGAAACTCCACCCAGTAGAAAACAACCTTGATTTAAAAAAAAACGCTAACCAGTAAGTAAGAGTGAAGATTTAGTTAAAAGATGAACAGAGTAAAGAAATATTTATTGTAGACAGTGAATCCATTAATAGATGGTAAGTAAAAGGTAATGTTCAGATGCTATCTAGTCTATTCAGTATTATTGACGATTCAATTAGCAGGATTGTATTGTACATAAATGGAAAAAAACAACAATAATCATTTGATGTGTAGTCAATTATTTGTTGTTTGTAATTTGTACACGTAAACATGAACTGATTAAACTGCCTAATTGATGAAAACAACAAGTTGTTCATAGTAATAAATGAATATATTTGCATACTTGTACAAAATAATAACGCCGCGCTAACTATAACAATCATAATTAGAGAAAAAAACGACATCCTGATTTTGGTTCAATTCATTGTGGAAGGGTCGTAAATTAGCACTGTTAAAGAGTCCTATACTAGGATGAATTAGTTGTCCAGTCCTTCCTGGTTTACACTGATGATATTATTTATTTATTTATAATTTATGTAAACACATAAACACTTGTACAAGATGGCAACAAATGCATATGTGCCATATAAATCATTCGACTTGTGTGAGGGCTGGGATACTGTCCGGGTGCTCAGACCGAAGTAGTTGATTTTCTTAGAGAGCCACACCCGGACCCTTAGATCTAAAGGTATGATCCACAAGGCAGTGGAGCATAGTAAAGAAATTCAGTCTCATGGTAGTCGGTGACCAATGATTGATTCATACGCCATTTGTTCTTTCAGGATACTGGAGCCCATGTTCAACATTGGTTTGGAATCAGGGTTTTTCAACTCCCCTTGTTGGATCTTCCATATCCACCAACTCATCCTCTCAATTTCGTAAACAACAGTGATGCCGAGAGAGAGAGATGACTCCCCACACTCGGCCGTACCAGGTCATTTAGGGGCTCAATGATGATTTAGCTAAGATCGGTTCATGATTTAAGCTATAGAAATTCTATAGACTTAACAATCCCTCTTGTATATTGAAAATGAAGCTATATAAACTAAAAGATAATCTACAATATAAGAATTAACTATGAACGATAAAATAAATGAACGTAATTAATTTATGTAGTCAACACTGAGCCACATTGTTTGTACGCAATTCTACATGAAGAAAACTGGGATGATATTACCTCCCCTCCCCCCTAATTTACCCAAGTACCTGAAGTTAGGTTCGAGCCTCAGAGTCCAATGATCGACAACTAACTGTTAAATAATACATCACACATTTGATGTCCAAGACCTCGGTAGATAGATAGAAAAAGAAATAAATAACTAAACTTTGTTTACATCTGTGTTGTCTTGAATAATGTCTTTTCTAAATCACTATATCTATCATCTAAAAAAATGTTGAGAATTCTACATTCAGAAAAACTGCACTATAAAATTATAAAACTCCTGTTGTCAAAAAAAATTCATTCAATTAGAATGTAATAATTGCATAATTTTGTTAGATAGTTGAAATCATAGATGCATACTGCTAAGGAGTCCCACCATAGGACGAAACAGTAGTCCAATGCTTCCAGGTGTTCCATGGTGGTCAACCTTTAATTGACTCATGATTTCAATCCCCTTCTGATGATTTTGTTAATATATTATACGTAGTTATGAGTTAAATAAATAAACAGTTGAGTTCATATCGGATTACTTCTCAAATATTTACAAACTCCAACTCCGCCATCATTATTAAAGTTGAAAGGTCATAATACAACAAAATTAATGATGATGATGACTTTAAATCAATTGAGTAATATGAATAGAATATACAATATGAGAATGATTATGTCACAATTATTATGATAATATAATTGTAATAATAATAACACTATTTGGGTTAAGAAAGATAAATCTGTAATTATGAATGTTTTATAAGAATAAAAAAACACTATATGGAAATGTATATGAGAAAAAGGACCCCCAAATGTCCTCGTACGACCGAGAGTGCGGAGAGTCCGCTCTCCCTCTCCAAATGCTCTCACATAGTCACGTGTATATAGCCTCTGTCAAGGAAGTCCTGATCACTGCATTCTCGTGACATTACTGTTCTTTACGAAATTGAGAGGAGGAAAAGACAATGTCCGGCGATTTAATCGGGTTGGTGGACACGGAAAGTCCATCTAGGAGAGTTGGAAAACACTGATTACAAACCAATGGTGCACATGATCTCCAGTATCCTGAGGAAACAAATAACGTATCAATCAATTGTTGGTCACAGGCTACCATGGGACTGCATCTCCTTACGATGTTCCACTGCTTGATGTATCAGATCTTTAGGTCAGAGACCTCCAGGTGTGGCCCCCTAAGAAAACCACCTGTTTCGGTTTGGGCACCTTGGCAGTATCACATCCCTCACACAAATCAAATGAGATTTGTGTGGCGCATATGTATTTGGTGCCCCTTTGTACCAATATTTCTGTGTTTAAATGAATTTAAATGAATGGAAAAAAGTTGTGGTCAAAAGTTTACAATATGTACTTTAGAGATAGAGATAAATAAAGGACTTTTAGATATAGAAGTATAGTTTCAACATGATGACTCAATCATATCCTCTGTGTAATTGATGGAGGTATATTAATGCTCCATTTTGTAGATTCCTTTAGAGATGAGTAAATACTGAAAAGTATTCCAACAACTTTATATTGTGTTTATTGTCTAGTTAATGAGGAAGGATAATCCTATTAACAGAGTAGGTGACTTGTTTTCCTAATCAAGTTGGCAGATTTTATTGAACATACAAGGATGATGTCCACTTAGTCTAACCTATGCAATCGACTATACCATAGCAGTTAAACTGATATAAACGTGCACAGAAGCCTAAAATTGAGAATTAATCCTTGACTCATCATATCCTTAATGAATTGGATCAGAAATGAACATGGAATTCAACAGCATTAAACGTCTTTTCACTACAACTACTGAGGATTGATCAAACTTATCCTTTCATCACTTGAATTTATATCAAGCTAAAAATAACAACAGTCAGATGTTACAGTCTGAGTAAAATGAATCAATCCCTCTGAATACACAATCTAAGCGCTAACATATTAAGTAATTCTGTTCACAGTTAATTTTTAAATTATGGGAATAAAGGATCGGCGGGCAAATTGTTACTTGACAATGTTAAACAATCAAGAACCGGATGAATCGAAAAAAAAACAACTTTAACATAAATAAATAAGTCGTAGAACAACACGTATATTATTTAATAGAACAATAAAAATACTTACCTTCACCGACATATAAATGTCCACCGTCATCGCCTTCACGTATAATATAACAGTTAGCTGGCACTGTTTGTTCATGCATACAAGAGACAACCTCTTGTAACTGAACTGCATCTAAATTCTTGATTAAATCATTACTTCGTAAAGCTTCACGTATTTGTCGACGAGAACTACATCGATGAGAAAAGAGAGAAAAACATAAATCACAAATAAATCAATTTAGATAAAAATTCGTCAAAATTTCAAATGAATATTTTCAAAGATAACATACACGAGCCGATCTAAGCTAGACCACAATTGAAAACCTGGAAGCACTAGACGGACGTCCTATCCTAGTATGGGACTCTGCAGCAGTGAGAACCCAGGATCCCACATGCGAGACTAGAACCCAGAAACTTCAGTCTAGTGTGTGAATGTTTAACCACCTCAGTGCTTCCAGGTGTCAGTGGTGATCTAGCTTAGATTGACTCGTCAACTCAACATTGAAAACACTACAATCCCCACAAATCCCTATACTGATTTTAAATGAGTTGTTTGAAACAAAATAAACATAGAGGTATATAGAGGACGTTATATATACACATTGTATTTGAATAATTTAAGTGATTGATATTTACATAATTCCAGTACTTCGTTAACCAATCTGGTTTGCTGAACTCTTCAAGAGGGAATATAATAGCATTCAACAAATAAATAATATACTCCTGTGACTGTACAGTTAGCAAACACACGTTTTTAAAGATACTAACCTACACAAAAGTAGCATTATGAATTATTTAGTTTGTTCTCTTTGGAAGAAATCAACATGGTACTAGTTATCAGTCAGCTACACCGGTGATATAAGTCCTACCCAAAAAAACTAATTTTTACGATTCTCAGATCAGTATAATTAACGTAATTTGATTGATCTAAATAAATTATGTGCAGAAAAGTAAAACTATCATAATTATTATCAGAAGGGGTTTTGTGGATATCATAGTAATTTTAATAGTTGAGATCATCAGTTCATTGAAGCTAGATCACCATAGAAAACCTGAAAGCACTGAACGGCCGTTTCATCTAAAGGCTAAGCGCTCTCGCGTGAGACTGATAGGTCCTGGGTTGGAATCTCGTGAGGCGGGATCGTGGATGTGCACTGCTGAGGAATCCCACAATAACACGAAACGGTCGTCCAGTGCTTCCAGGTTTTCCATGGTGGTCTAACTTCAATTGATTCATGATCTCAACTATTAAAATTATTATAGTTAAGTTCAAAAAATAGTAGTTTTTCTTACGATCTAAAGCAGTTTTTCAAAAGAAACCAAAATGGTATTAAAAATGATAGTTTCACAATGAATGTATGTACTTTATGAAAGCTCACAACTAATGAAACCCACATTAACATTGTGCTTTTGAAAGAAATTAAACTATTTACAATTTATAGGCAAAGATGGATAGTGGCTAGCAGTGGAATCCAGGACGCGCGTTTCGTCTTATTTGGGACTCGTCAGCTGGATGCACCTGCATCTCAGTCCCGAATAAAGACAAAACGTGCGTCTTGGATTCCACTGCTAGCCACTATCCATCTTTGCTTATAAAGCTTGTGACTTCAAGCAAGATTGAAGCAGTTCGCACAGGATGCATATAATGCAACAAGAGGTTGATCGATTGCAGTTTTAAATAACAATGGGAAGATATATGTATAGAACACCATGTGTATTTACAATTTAGTTTATCACTGAGTAATAAACCAATATCATGTATGTCAAATTTATTTTAGTTTTGATTGAATTCTATCGATCAAGTTACAATGTGACTATTAGTCTAAGTGACTTTATATAGTGTCCGACATTTTTAAATGGTGGTTGGAGCTAATGGACAGGACTAGATTAGGTTAGTCTTTCGGAAATTGATTATTTCCTGAGTTCAATTTATTCAACAAACTGAAATATTCTCTCCTAACTGATTGTAATATATATATATATATTACATTGTAACTTAATCGACAAAAAATTAATTAACACTCTGAAGAACATGACTCCTCAATGATGAATAAATGTAAATATTAGAATGTTACAAGAAAGAAATTTCGATCTGAATAGATCACTGGTTATGAAAATGTGTGATGAATAGATCTTAACAAGAATGATTAAGAGATTAGAATTTTCGGTTAGTGTACAGTTAGTTTTATTTACGAACTTCCAAAGACTCTTCTAATACGATGCAAAGAATAGGGACTTGAATAGACCAGACACCTGTCACACAACAATTCTTCAGTGTTAACGATTCACAAGCTAACAGCGATGAGACGTTAACACCGTTGGATGCCGGGCAGCTCAGTGGTCTAGTGGTTAAGCGCTCGCGCGCGAGACTGATAGGCCATTGGTTCTAATCTCGCGAGGTGGGATCGTGGATGCGCACTGTTGGGGAGTTCTACAATATGACGAAACGACCATCTAGTGCTTCCAGGTTTTCCATGGTGGTCTAGCTTCAATTGACTCATGATTTCAACTATATAAAATTAAATTATCTTGAAAATAAAATAAGGAATCATAATCATTGTTACTGAGTCGATGAGAGAAAATAATAAGAACAATGATTAGAAGTTAATCAGTTAAAAGTAATCGATAGCAAGGATATATTCGACCTAAGTTCCACATTCTATTTATTACTTGTCACACTAAACCAATATAACGTATCTTCAATCTTAAAGAAATTGATATCTTACATGTAAGAGATTCAAACACTTTCAGCATTATCAATCATCTATTTACGTCATAATTTAAGTCCTGCAGTAGAACAGATAAGTGTTGACCGCTTTACTTATCTTGGGAGTCTAATCAGCCCTTCTGGTCTGGTGTGTGACGAAATCTCAGCACGGATACAGAAGGCTCGTCTAGCTTTTGCCAACTTGCGTCATTTATGGCTTAGGCGAGATATCCGTCTACCAACCAAAAGACGGGTTTACTGTGCAGCAGTTCGCTCCGTCCTACTTTATGGCACTGAAACATGGTCGGTAAGAGTAGAGGATATTCATAGGCTACTAGTATTCGATCACAGGTGTCTTCGAAGCATTGCTCGTGCATCCTGGGACAACTAAGCAAGTAATGAAGTTGTTAGGAAACGGGTACTAGGTAAGGATGGCAAATCGATTGAAGTAGTGAAACTTCACCAGTTGAGAAGGCTGGGACACGTGTTACGTATGCCCAACCACCGACTGCCACGACTTGCAATGTTTCATGGTGTAGGAGTAGGCTGAAAGAAAGCTATGGGCGGCCAGACCAAAACGTGGCACAAATACATGAAGTCACTGACAGTTGGACTGAGCCATGTTGATAGGTGTAGACTACCTGGTTGGGATCGGCGAGATGATTGCAATCGATGGTTAGAGACCTTGAATCACACGGCTCAAAATCGTTTGCAATGACGAAGGTGTATCCATTCTTTGTGTTCTGCCAAATTCTAATCTTCTGAATTCTTCATGACTCTATCTTTTTTCTCTCGCCAAAGTTATTTCACTTGATTATACTCTTTGAATAACACTTCAACCCCTAATCTTTCACATAATTGCTTATACTCTTACTACTTCTATCACTATGGGATTTGAATCCACAACTGTATCTCTGTGCTAATGTGGTATAGCAACTCGAACTGATGTACGTACGTACGACGTTCTACGTTGTGATTGACTGACTGACAGATAGATATATCTAAGAATAATTTAATTGATTTGTAAGGTATTTAGATTCGGCAAAGTATAAAAGTCTTATGTCCTAGTGAAGATTAAATTGAAGGGTAATTTCTGAGAATTATTTATGGATTAATATTATACGTATATTCTTATTGTAAATAAACTATATATAATTAGATTCCTTTTATTATAAGCTTTATTTTGACCTAGATAGACTATTATTATACGATTTACTATCCTTAAGTTATGTTCAGTTTCTTAATTACAGTCTCACACGTTCACAGCCACTTTTTTTTGGCTTGATCTTGTACAAAAATGTTATTTCCTATTTTATGGTATGATGTGGTCTGTTTGGTTGGTATATAAACTAAGTATTGTTTGAAATATATGATTCGATATAATGAAGATTGATATTTGCGTTCTGGACTAAATAGGCTGCGTCAGGTGAAAAGTTGCTCTCTCAAGGGATCAATAAGAACTTTAGGCTGCTTGTACAAGTTGATCATTAGTCCGATCGTATAAGCCGGTGTCTCTAATTGATGATCATATGACGTGATATATTAACAGGACACAAAAGCCACAAGGCATAACATAAAGTAACAGAATTCCGTAAAAGTGTATAATTGAATTACTCATGTACATAAAGTGATGGATATCTGATATCATTTATAATTAATTGCTAAGAACAAAAAGTCTAATGACCAGTTGCAGTTCTAAAAACATCAATGGGAAGATTCAAAGAAGCAATACTAAGTGAATTTCAACTTCACCCCCATTTCACAAGCAAGTGGCTAACAGGACTCAGTAGCTGAGTGGATAACGCGATGGAGTTTTAAGCGAAAGCTAATGGGTTCGAGTCCCAGAGTGAGCATCAACTCTGAGATGAAGGTACATCCAGCTAGTGACGAGTCCCAAATAGGACGAAACGCGCGTCCTCGATTCCACTGCTAACCACTATCCATCTTTGCTTACCATGCTTGTGAATTTAGGCTATATCGAGACAATACGCACAGTATGCAAATATGCTAATTAGAGACTGACCAGTTGCAGTCCTAAACATCGATGGGAAGATTCAAACAAACAATACTAAATGAATTTAAAAAGCCTAATAAATGTTAGAAATTGTTTGGCAATTAACAAAAGACAAAGTTGTTTTGAATTCCTTCAAACAACTCTTCCTCGATAGCTACACACAAATTGAATACTTCATCATCATTATCATTCAAATAGCACCAAGATCAATGATCTGGTTACTATTAATATTGTTAAGGTTAACATAATATTACTAAAATCTTGTTAACAATGCTAGAATCTTACTAGAAACGATCTTACATATCGACACCATTTTTACCTGATTGATTATTATTGCTTTTAGTTCAGTTAAATTTCAGTTTGCTTCAAGGTCATGTTTCGTTAATGTATGTATAGAGTTGTACCATTCAGTTATGTTTTTTTAGCAAAACGGCCCAAAGTTCAGTGACTAAATATATTGATATGTCT